CTCCTTAGGCAAGTGGTACACAAGGAAACTATTCATCAAATCCAAGCAATTCCAATAGATCCTGAAAAATGAGACAAAATAATCCTGAAAAATCATGCTAGCCAATCTATAAACAAATTCATTTTCAGATCTTCCTTCAGATGACAAAAAATGAGCTGGGGCAAATTAATCTGAGACAAAATGTTAACATCTTCAATATCTATTTTATGAAAAGGTTCTCACCTACAGATGACATCCTAAAATTGAAGGGGTTGAGAGATGCTTCAAAGTGTCACCTATGCTATAAGGAGGAGGAGAGCCTAAATCACATATTTATCACTTGTTGAACTTTTGGAGTTGTTTGGACTAAAACCCTTGAAGTTCTGAGGTTGAGATCTATGGGTTACAATCGGTATAGAAGAATGCTAGAATGACTCAAAGGATCAACAACAACAATACATCCCCGTAATCATTGCACGACTCTTATGGATGGCTAAAAACAAGGCTAAACATGAAAATCTGACTGTATCAGAGGTGGCTATCTATAACGACATCTCCCATAGAACTAGGTTTAGGAAAATTTTCCATCAAACTTTTTGGGTGGCTGGTTCACCAAAGACACATGCAATACAAAAAGTGATATAAAGAAAACCTACTCAACAATGGGTTAAGATCAACACTGATGGAAGTTTCTCTCAAGCTTCAGCTGGAATTGGAAATGTCTACCGAGATCAAAATAGAAGCTGTCTTTGGTTCTTTTAATCACCAGTGACTACAAACAATGTTTTAGAGATTGAATTTGTTGCAGTCTATTGGGCCCTGAAGCTAGCAATATCATTACAGTTCAAATACATACATATGGAGTATGATGCCTTACAACTCATCCAGATCCTACATAAGAACTCCAACATCCCATGGCAGCTCATCCACTAGATCAAGAATATCTCCCTCTTAATTAAATCAGCAAAGGTCATTGACACATCCCCGAGGAAGTAAATCAACCGCCAAACAGCTTGGCCTAAAATGGTTGTAATAGTGGGAGGGTTTTGTGCTCTAGTCTCCCAAATAGTTCTTTTAAGTTCTCGTTTCATGGGGATTCCTTGGAATTCCCTTATATTAGATATAAAATTTTTTTACCTAAATAGAAAAGCCTATTTTCTCATTTCTGTAAATCAAGAAAACAATATTATTCTGAAAAAAAAAGGTTATTTTAAATTAAAACCAGGACATACCCAATCTAAGCAAACTCCTACAAAACAATTCTCCCTCAGACCTAACTTGACCCAACCATTTTGACTTGGCCTAGGTCTAGATCATCAAGGATCTCTTGTCCGACAACCTCCTACTAAGAGTTGCCCCCGCGTCTTCCATGTTCTCCACACGAGCCGACAAGTCACAATTACTTTCCCCGATGGATGCCTGCCGACCATGCGACCTAGGAGATGTTTAGAGGCGATCAACTCGAGAATCGTCCGCCTCGCCTGATGCCTATTCTATTATCGTTGGCACCTAAATTGGATTCTTGCCGATGCCAGCCAGGGCTGGATCCTAACTCAGGTCTCTCAAAGTCTAGTCATTTACACCAATAAATAACATAAAGTTAAAGGACATAAAAAAAATAAATCAACTAATAAGACAGATGCTCCTCATACCCATGAGCCGATCCAACTTAGACATCGGGTAGGTTTTGCACAACAGCGGGTCGGGTGGTCAGTTCAACATTGCTCTGCTTGTTGTTGAAGAATGAATTCGACGACCCCTTTTGATCTTATTGTGAGATTGCAACCTCTTTTTATTTTCTTAACGATCTTCTTCTTCTTCCATTCACCTCCTAGGCTGCCTCGTGCTTTCAATTTTATGAAGGAAAAACATATTAGATTTTTTTTTGGGGATATATCCTCAGAGGTATGGTATGTTCTCCATTACAACACCCGGAAGCGAAATGATTCAAATGAGAGAAGTTGTGTAGTAAATAGGTAATGGGAAGGAGAAGTTGTGGAGTAAACAGGTAATGGGAAGTAGTCCCGTCGCGTCTTTTTTATAAGAATCAAATATGTAGAAATCAAGAGAACTCAATTATTAAGTAATTAATTAATAATAATGCAATCTGTTGTTGTAATAAATGTACTTATTCTTACTGTAGGGTCACTTCTTAGAGGTAATAGAACAAGATAATTAAAATATGTACATAAAAATGTGCGAATGTTGATCATGAAGAGATCTAACGGTCCAGAAGGGAAGAATATAATGAATGTGGGCCCATTACTAGATCGTGGGACCTACTTGTCCGCATAAGTGAAGTTGTCATAGTCAAGCCAATAAGGCCAAAAGATAGAGCTTTGGGGCAGACAAAAAGATGATCAAACGACCTAAACGTAAACTATTTGCTAGATGCAATGCCATCCGAGCTGATCATTAACAGAAAACTGACAAGAGGCAATAGCCAAACCACATGGGGAACTGATCCAAGGGAAGATTTTATGTCACAACATCTGCGCCATCCAAGAGATTCCACAGTTTCCCCATCATAACAACCAAGTTCGGTCGATCAAACTGATCCTTTCGACTCGAAACTGCTTAGGTCAACGCGTCAAGTCAGGATGTTGTTCGTTGACATGCGCACATATAAAATGCCAGAAGCATCCAATTACGAACTTGTTTAAAACAAAATTAAAAAACTGTAATTTCATCATTTTGTACCATCTCCTTTATAATAGGAGACTCATTTTATAAATATGATACGAATTATTACGATAGATTATTGTTCACTCTTTTTACGTCTCTTTCTCTCTCTATTTCTTTGATGTGATTCAAACGCAAATCTAAATTCAACATTATTATTATGAATATTTTTTATAATTTTTTAAATTTCATGCGCTTCCAATTGCATGCCATTCGCTTTGTGTGCGGAGAAATTTTGCAATTGATTTTTGATATATCACTAATAAATTTTTATCATTTGACATAAATCTCAAAACATGACACAAATCTCAGTGCATCATTTTGAGCAAAAAATATTCAAATCTTGATAAAAAATAATCCAAAGCTCTAATTTAAGCAAACTTATAGTCAAACTGTCCGGCTCGATGAGACTGACCTAATGATATTAAAGTCTGTCTAATCCCAGACAAATTAAGCCCAAATCAAGTCATTAACTCATTCTTGCAAAATTTTTAGACATATTTGAAAGGACAAACAGTTGCTGAATCTGAAAAGTTTATAGTCGATTCGAGTGTCTTGACAAAACGAATCTAACAAACACTAGATCACCCAATTTTGATATCATTAAGACATCTGAATGCCCATTAAACATTGTCTAATTGATGAAAGCTATCCGGACTGTTCGATCAAAATGATTCATATTCTTGCAATAATTGAACCTAGAACATTATAAATAGACCCTCACTCCTCACATGAGGGGGGCTGAAGCCTAGAGAGAGCTTGAGCTTCGAGAGAAAACTTGAAGCTTTTAGAAGGAACTGAAGTCCATCACCATCTCTACCATCGTCGATAGCGACCGATAGACATCAACCACCGTCAATATTTGTAGATCATTGTTGACTTTCTACACCCATTGATCAACATCTACCTCTGTCGACCCCGTCAATCACCATCAATCGTCATCAACCACCACCAACCAGACGTCGTTAGGGAACGTTGTAACTTAAAAAATTTAGTATCCCTTTCCCGAATGTGAGAAATGCTCATCACTACAGTTCATGTGCCAACAATGACCTATGTGGATATCAACCCTTGCAACTCCGGACTCTAGCCTCCGCAGCCTGCGAACGTCATTCATAGTCACCCCTACGACATATATGATTCGCAGTTCGTGCAACTCCCGACTCTGATCCTCGCGGTTTACGGAAGTTATTCATACTCACCCCTATGCCCAACGTGGTTCACAGCTTGCGCAGCTCCCGCTCATGCACCCGTTGCCTACGAACGTCATTCATACTTGTCATTGCGCCCAATATAGTCCACAACTTCCAAAACTACTTACTACAATTTCTCTGACCAATCAATACTTCTGAGCAATCATCTACAATACTCATAACAGATTATTACCTCCACAACAATCATCAATAACCCTTCCAACTTGTTGTCACCTAGAAATGCAGTCAGATTGTAGTTATATAATTTTGTAATTTTATCTTCCCTAATTAGTAGAAGAATGAACTTTTGAACTCATCATTTATAGTGAATTATTTCAATTGGGCTAGGCCCTATTGTTTTTCACCCTTTCAAAGTTTTTCACGTAAAAATTAAAGGGTCTCAGCCTACTTATTTCTTTTCGTTTATCTGTGTGCATGAATTCTCATGCAACACTAAGATTATAATCCATTACTCTACTGCCACAAATTTTCTAGCATGCATCATTGTGAGTACTCGAGCAACATAGGTGTACTTTTGTTTTCTTTTTTTTCTTTTTTGTGTGGGTAAATTCGATGTTCCAGAATTATCGGTATTGTCTATTAAGTAATCGGGCATCATTTGAGCTATATTGGCCATCGTGGAGACAATCCAATACTGAATCATATATATTGCTTTTGTTACAGTCTGGCTATATCAATCATATATGTTGCTTTTGTTACATTCTCACCCAAATCGATCGAATCGAGTTTAGATCTCATTTGCTAGATTTCAATGTTCCTTATCCAACGATGAAGTCCGTTTCACTAGTGAAGGCATCATTTAGTGAAGTTCTGTGGTTTTTAAAGTGAATCAACCTTGATCTGTACGTTGTTGTGCGTCGTTATCTGCCATCTTTGATGCATTCACATTGCCGAGCATGGCATGTATAGAGGCAGATAACGGACTGCTCGAACCTTGTCATTTGAGTTTCTTCTAACCAATGTGCAGCATGTTAGAGCACTACATAAATTTTTTTTGGGCGATGCCATGTCCTACTATTTCCTACAAGCTTTTGGAGATTGTCTCCGTTGTCCATATAATTATTGCTTCTGAATCGTCTCCACCATTCTCTTCCCACCCCAAATAAAATTGTGACTTTTGAACAGGCGGAAATGGTATCGCTTGATGAAGCTGCAAAGCTGCTGCTTGGTGATGGCCAGAACCCGTCTTATATGAGAAGTAATAAACTTTCTTTTCCCTTTTCTTTCTTGAGTGTTAGTTTTGTTTCCTTTTTCAAGTAGAAATGTTTTCATGTGGATTACAATGATCTAATTTCAATTTCTAAGATGCTAATGCAGCAAAGGTTCGGCGGCTTTATGACATTGCAAATGTGCTATCGTCCTTAAATCTCATTGAAAAGGTAAATTTTCGCTTTTGCATTTGAAGAATGATATATATATCATAAAGGAAGATTTGCATACATAACGTTCAATGTCTATTCATTTATATATCTAAAATCTAAACTTTCAATTTTTAGGTATAGGCTACTTTACCTATACATATACATGTGTATTTCACCAGTTAAAAGTAAAAAAAAATGGTTTTTGATGTGATATGGAAAGTTTGAGTGGTATAAATGTAACAAGTAAGCTTTATTAGTTGTTTGATTTTTAAATACATAGGAATTGGTTGATATATATATGTAAATGCCCCTGCCATAATACATAATAAAAGATTTCATCTTTTTTCAGACACATCAGTCAGACACTAGGAAGCCAGCGTTTCGATGGTTGGGAACCAAAGGGAAGTGCGTGGATGGTGTTACAGTTGCCATTCCTCCTTTCGCACAGAAGTCTGGCAAAAGAATGTTTGGGACAGAGCTAACGAATGTGGATTTCAAGAGGACGAAATTGCTATCATCAGTTGAAAACAAGCCCATCAAAACTCAAGTTCTAAGCCATGATCTGAAGGAATGCAACAAAGCAGTAGAGAGGCAATTACAGGGCTCCAAGTCTTTTGTGTTTGGTCCATTTAATCCTCCCAAAACAGCCAAGGAAGAAATTACTGATAAAAAAGAAGATAATATTTCAGACTTCGAGAGCTTTGCCTCTTCTTTTCGGCCGTCCTATCATAGCCAAGGTTTGTTTTCCCTGAGTTGATTTATTTGATTCTCATCGCCCAAAAAACATTTAGGCTTGGCTTTTGGTTCTCTTAAAGCTTGTTTTCTTTTTCTGGATTTGGAAAATAGTATTAACCTTTGTAGTTATATTCTTATTATATATACTGTGCGGCAAATTTGTTGATGATTGTGTTGTGATTACCTCTTTAAGCATCACAAAAATAATTTTAAAGTATCATGAATAAACTTTGGTACACTGGCAATATCAATATAAGTCCTACAAAAAGCTTAGCACCTTTTTTATACTTGATAGGGATGAATGGAGAGTGACTTCGTGATGTTGCCCTAGTAGTGTTAATATCATGGAATATGGTATGATGATGGAATATGTTATTTTATGAATATTTATGCTGCTGTTTCTTCCATTACTGGTGATATCTGTCTTATCTTTTTTTTTTTCGGCAATAAACTTCTCATCTAGAATTGCAAGATTAATGTTTTACATTTGGTTATTTTTATCTAAGATTTTTTTTATTTGTTAATATTTTAGCAAATATTTTTTGCTTTACTGTTGTGAAAAAACGACGGCAATAAAACGAAAAATGAAATGAGTAAAATTGCATGTAGAAAAACACCAGAGCGACACAAATTTACGTGGTTCGGCAAATTTGCCTACGTCCACAGAGCTGCAGATGATTTTATTTCTTCGAGGAATTACACCGTTGAGCGTCTTGACGTTTGTCTGTATAAGGTCCGTACAAGGTCCACCATTTGTCTGTATAAGGTTCGGTTTTCCTGCCTTTGGTGTTCTATCACTTTTCAGGAAATTGATCTTCTTCTGCTTCCCTACAATGCACCTCTAACTCATGTGTCCACGCCTGAGAAAACCTGTAGTCATATATAATGTGTCAGTTTTCTTACCCCAAGTCAGTACTAATGCTTCTTTAGTAACATTCCAGGTGTTATCTGAGAACACTACCGAATGATCACCCTCGTTAAGCTGCCCAGAAGAGATGAAGTTTGTCTTCAACTCAGGAACGTGTCTGACCTTTTGCAAAGTCAATTTTCTCTTGTTAGGGAGTGTAATATCAACATCTCCCATCTCCACGACATCCAGAGTTTTTCTATCAGCCAAGATATATCTTCCCAAAGTTACTTGTAACATAATTTCTCATTAACTCCCGATGGGAACATGTATGGAATGAAGCTCCTGAATCCAGTATTCAGTCATCAAGAGAACTGTGAACTGCCAGAAATAGTGCATTATGTATTTCTTCAGTTATAACATTAGCGACATCATTCTCTTTCTTCTTAGGATTCCTGTAGTTTTTTTTATGTGGCTAGCCTTGCCACAATTCCAGCAGGTTGTCTGCTGATCAGACTTTGATTTTAATCTTCCTCTGGAATCAACATTCACCATTCAGCGCCGAACTTGAACACGAGGCCTCGCTAGAATCCTTCCTGCGCATCTCCTCAACCAAAATCAAATCACGAATATCATCATATTTCAGCTTAGATTTACCTGCAGAACTACTAACTGCCATCCTCATGGTATCACAGCTATTTGACAATGAAGCCAACAATATCAGTGCATATATCTCATCATCAAAATCAATTTCAACAGATGACAACTGATTTGTGATAGTATTGAACTCATTTTGGTGTTGTGCAACAGATACATTCTGCCATCTTTAAGTTGAATAACTTTTTCATCAGATGTATCTTGTTATTCGCCGATTACTTTTCATACATACCTGATAAATCCGTAATGAAATATGCAATAGTTCAATCCTTGATGACGTTGTTGGCAATAAATCTCGACAGGATTAATCGTATGACTCCCAAAACCTGTCGATCCAATAAATTTTATTCCTCCTCGTCCATCTTTTCTGGTCGCTTTTTCAGTAACAGAAGATGAAGTTTCTTCTCATAGAGGTAGTCCTCTATCTACATCATCCCCGATGTCATCACTTTGTCTTCACCTATTGTTTTTCCTTAGATTCGAACCTAAGCTCTGATACTATTTGTTGTGAAAAACGATGTCAATAAAGCGAAAAATGGGACGAGTAAAATTGCACGGAGAAAAACCTCAGAGCAACACACAGATTTACGTGGTTCGACAAATTTGCCTTCATCCACGGAACTGTAGGGAATTTTATTTCTTCGATGAATTACACCGTCGAGCGCCTCAAAGTTTACAAGAATATCTCTATTTTCTTCTCTCCTTTCCTCTCTCTCTTTTCTTCTCTTTCTCCTAGCTCTCAGGAGGACTTGGCTTGGCCTTCGGCTTGGCTTCTCGTTTAAGCCAAAAGAGACTATTTATAGAAACCATGAGAGCGGTAGGTGGGATGCGGTAGGTGAAATTCTTAATTAGGAAGCTATCTAAATTTCGGTGGACTGGGTCTCCACATTACCCAACATTTACTTGTAGAGCCACTTTTTAAACATGTTTTCTTCAATGGAACTCAATCTAAAGAGCTCTTAACAAGCTAAATGCTATTTATTTCCTGCTTTTACGGTCGTGTTAATCTGAACAATTTGGTTATCTTTACGGCATCTTTTGATGCAATTTTCTTTCATTCCGAACTCTGTCAATATATATAAAAACCCATAAATCTTTTGGTTTTTGTCCTAGACCTTTACTCTGGATAGTTACTATGACAAACTCTATGAGCATTTACAAATTAAAAATCATTCTTTGATTGTTCTGTTCTGCAAGTCATGCCATTTTAGTTTCTTCGCAGATTATTGTTTTTCTTTTACCATATCTTCTTAAGCTATAACTTCTCAACTATCTTCAACAGCTTTGCATGAACTCTTCTCACACTATATGGAGGCATATAATTCATGGTTTGCAGAAATCACCGGGGGAAATAATACGCAGCAACCCTTGAAGAAATCTGTTCATATTGGGCATTCATAGAGGTAATTCTGCCATATGTATCTTTTCAAGCCCTTTTAAGCCGATCTTCCTGACGAGGAATTGATCGCTTGAACTTTGTGTTGTGAAATTTTAGCTTTTGGGGTCTATGAATTCTGTATTTTCTCAATACAGCATAGTCCTTTATGATGTGTTTTTTCTACTTGTGATTGCTAGTAAGCAATGGACATGCGTGTAAAATTACTCTATGGGAAGAACAGTCTTTTATTCCCTAAGTATGGCTTGGAAGTTTTCTATTTCAATCTTCTATATCAGCTATTCTAATCTTCCTTTGTTTTCTTAGTTCCACTGATAGAATCAAGTATGATGTTGGTTTCATAAAATTACAAAATTTGTGGTCTTAAAAACTGGATTGGACCACCTGGTTTGATCGACTTTAATAAAGGACTGATTTTTAGTCGGTTTGATCCAGGCTTAAAACTACTTTTACTCTAAACTAGTTAGAATTGAAGTTAACTTGGTGAAGCAGACAGCTTCTGATAAACTAGTTAGTTTTAAAATTGATTTTTTTTTGTTTTTTTTTTTATTTTGATTTGATTTTTATGAATAAAAGATTTGCATTTAAAATATAGAAGATAATTAAAATAGTATGTTACAAAGATTTTTATTTAGAATTAGATTTTAAATATTCAAGAAAAAATATTTTAAATTTGAAAATTATATATTGAATTGGCTAAAATATGCTTATTTTTTATATGTTATTTAAATTTTTTTTAAAATAATTTTTATGTTTATTGTGCCATTATGACTTGACTTTTGTTGAAATGTTGAGTTTTAGATCTCTTTCCAATTTAATGTTAGATTTGATTTCCACAATGTTTAGCAATCAAAGTATTTCTGATGCTTTATAATATTCATGATTGTTTAGTGCCTTAGCTTATTTGATATTCTTTTCAGATTACATATTGAATTGTAAAATGTCACAATTTTTTTTGTTCAAAGGGACCAATTTTCAATTTTAATAATCTAAGGGTCCTTTTGGGGCAGTTTATTTGGTGCGGTGACGTTTTGAAAATGCATTTGGACTGTTTGGGTAAATTGCGTTTTGACAGCTTATGTTTTTTGAAAATGCTGAAAACATTATTTTCACACTGTACCTATCTAGGTGCGGTGGTAGTTTTTTGACAGCGGTTTGATTTTTCCATAAAAATAAAAATTTCTTATAGTCACCGCACTTAACTTATCAACTGATTATTTTTAATCAGTCTATCAACAAATTATTCAAAATTTGTGACATTTTAAACTTAAAAGAAAGCAAATTGAGAAGCCAAAGAAACACAAGATTTTTAGCTAAGAAAATTTGCTAGAAGAGAGTTTTACACTTTTATGGCTTATTGTTATATGGAATTTTCTTTCAAAAATAGATAAAATAGATTAATATAAAAGAGATTAGAGCTTTTATGTAAAAGAATTAGTAATAAAAAAAATCATTATTAATGAATTCATCATCAGACACTAATCTCACGTCAAAACATGGATCTTAGGATGATTTTGAGTAAGAAATATTCACTTTGAATAAAAGTCATCGAAAGCTACGATTTCAACAAACTTACAGTCAAACTAACTGACTCGAGGAGATTGACCCAATGATATCAAACTTGGTCTAAGCTGAACCAAATCAAATCCCGGTGAAACCTTTAAATATGTCTTGGGAGCTTTTAGAACATATTTGGAAGTCAAATAAATATCGAATATGACGAGCTTATAGTCTAATCCAACAAGCCCATGATCGCTCAATTTTGACATCTTTAAGATACTCAAATGTCCATAAAATTCCGTTAGATCGAAGAATCTTTCTTGGCTTTCAGATCATAGTGGTTCAGATTCCTTCATTAAATGCAAGCGTGACACTATAAGTAGAGCTTTACCTCCTCTTGAAAATGAGAGAGATCTTCAAACCTAAAGAAGACTGAAGCTTGAAGAAGGAGCTGAAGTCTAGTGTCACTTTTGCATCGATGATCTGACAAATATCTCTTGCTCCTGCAGTTTCCACTCATCGACCATCACCCACTTTTTGCAATGAAACATCTTATGAAACAACCGACGAAGCGGTGCATTATCACGGATGTCGCGCTAACCTTAAAGATGATGCATTGAAGCCCTAATTATTACTCCACAACAGTCCTCCTTGTCACGGGCCGACAAGTTCATCCACGCATCGACGTTGTAGCTCGGTAGACTATGTAATTCTTTTCTGACTGTAGAACAAAGGGCTATATCTGTAATAACAAATTTATAATATATTTTTTCAACTGGGTCATGTCTCATGGCTTTTTCTCTTTCCGGGTTCTCCACATAAAAATCCTCTGGTGTCTTTGCCCATCATTTATATTATCTAAGTATATGCTAGTTTCTCGTGCAATGCCAAGACTCTAGCGTTGAGAATTCTCTTGCATGTATCAAGACCCGACTTAGATGAGATGATCTAGTAAGTTATATTATAAAGGGAGATGCACATAAAAATCAGTCAATTCCTATGTATCTACAAATCTAACATCTAAATATTAATTTTCACATACTTGGCATCTTATCAATACATGGAAACGTGTATTTGGCTTTTTTAAAGTTATAGTTTGGGGTGTAAATGAGCCGAACAGGAGCGAGTCCAAGCTCAGCTCGTGTTCGGCTCGTTTATATTTCGAGTTAAAAAAATGTGTTCGTGTTCGGCCCGTTTGCTTAGCGAGCCGAACACGATCCGTTCACAAACAAAGAGTAGTTTTAACAACCATAATCACGTAGCCATAAGATGTTAAAGATCGAGACAAGGTTTAAAAATTATTGTTTATATTAAAACATTATTTGAATCTAATTTAATAATTTTAATTCTAATTTCTTAATTAATACTTTAATTGATTATAAATCTTTGTAATTTTGTAGGTAATTAAATTTTTTAAAATAGTACTCATCAAATATATATTTATATATATCTTTGATGAGTAGTATTTCGAGCCAAAACGCGCCGAACACGAACAAACAAATCTTGGTTCGTGTTGTTCGTGCTCGGCTCGTTAACTTAAGGAATGAGCCGAACGCGAGCTTCTTAACGAGTCGAACACAAGCTGTTCGAGAACAACGAGCCGTTTTGACAGCCCTAATTATAATGATGGTATAAATTTAAAAAGCAAACATTAGGTTTTAGACATGTAAATACATAGCAATTGGGTGGTATGAATACCCCCAATTATAAATTCCCTTCAATTAAAAAAAAAAAAAAAGAGAAAAGTCTACAAAATAATTTAACTAAAATTTATCTTGTATCGCCAAGTTGTTATATTTGGGTCCTTGAAGTTCTAAACATTGGGATTAATAAGTTCAATAAAAGAAACAAATAATTAAAGCAAAAAATAGTAAAAGTTTGAATCAACTAAGAACGAATTCCAACAATGAATCAACCTAAAGAGTGCTGCATTTGAGTGCTCCAAGACTTTCTCGGACTTTAGGGAGAAGCTTTCAGGTTTTTGTGTTGGCCTTTGCAGACAAACTCTTAAAAATATGAACCATCTTTCCATTCGGCTGTTTGCAACGAGGCACCTTTCTTTTTTATATTTATGGGCTCTAATTTCTGTAATAAAAGAAAACTCTTAAACCCACGAGATTTTAAGCATAAGATTGATTTTTTAAATTAGACGTTTGTGCTCCTTCAATAAATAAATAAATAAATAAGCAAATAAATTTAAAATCTTTGCCTTACCTTTTGTGATGATAGAGTAATAATTTATTGTTTTAGCATACATATTGATAAAATAAGCATCATAATTGTTTTGTAGAAAAACTTTGGAAAAGAAATTATGGGCAGCATAGTCAAAGTAATTCACTATATATATGTGTAAGTATAAGAGTTTTCTCACCCACTCTTATATGGCTAAAAAGAAGAGAATTGTTGAAGAAATTTAACAACATCTGTAGTTTGTCACTAACGGGTGAAGACATGTAGTGTTTGATGGTAGTCGATGATGGTTGGTGTCTATTGGGGTCGATGGTTTCTCTCCAGAGTAAACTTAAGAATTGCACTTCTTCTCCCACCAAATCCGTCAGTCCATACTGACCTCCCTTGATCATAAGTGTGTTTTTTAGATTTGGGTGCCCAAATGACCTCAAAATCGAGCGGCCTTAGGATCCTTGGCTTCCATTTGTTTAGATGCTCTATCCAACTATAAATAATTAAATATGTCAAATTTCGAGTTCATTTCACATTCACTTGATGATCCAAAACTTTCAATTACACTTCAACGGCTTGATCTATGCTTGATTATACTCATATTGAATAAATTTTAGGGTTGTTAGGTTAGTCTTGCCTAAATACTCAGTTTGATTATATATCAAATGAAATCAGAGCTTGGACAATCATAAATTTCAATTTTGATTATTTTTTTTGCTCAAAATGCTTTTTGATACGAGACTGATGATTAAATATTGTTGGCGACACAACAATGTTAAAAAAATGCTTCTTTTGGAGAGCTTTTTAATCAAATTATTGTAAAGTAGCCTAAATATTGCCATGTCATATTATTGAATTAATTAATCCTTTTTTTTCATTGAAGTTAATTCTTCTTGTAAAAATTGGTCATCTTAGGATGCTAGTTGATATGGTTTTGTGTAAACAACTTGCCGTCGACGGGAAGATACAAAATGACGTTGATTTTAAATCTAATTGGGTTTTTTTTTCTTAATTTTTAAATTTGGATGATAGAAAGATATTCAAGAATAGTAGTAGGGGTCATTTTTTTTTTAGTTTTTTAATCGACTAGAAAAATTTTGCTATGGAACTTGAGAGTCTTGTCCAACACTAACTCCAACCTTCTTTTGCTTGACATCATCTTCTCGCAGTCATCATCGAACTATTATAAATCAATCATTTCTTATCCGAATATATTGATCGATCGTTTGGTTTGCATGTCATTGTATGATTAGCATTTCCAACATAGTTTATATAATATGACTTGACTGTCATTGCTTGATGGCTATTGCCAAAACATTATATCGTCATCCTTCACTACTACTCCATCACTCTTCATTACGATTGTGCGAGAACAAGCTATTGTTTTATATTTTCTAATTATACTTTATTCGAATTAGAAGTGTAGACTTCTATAATTTTACTTATAAAGTTGATTATCCTAGTTTGGTGTGACATAATTATTCTTTTTCTTTTGGGATTTTTGCATATAAAATTGTGTCTCTCCTATAAACTTTTATTTGTATGTGTATCTTCTCTGTACCAAACTAGGGGTTGAGAATCTCGAGCACTG